CCATCCACCCATCCATCCACCCATCCCTCCATCCATCCACCCATCCATCCATCCATCCATCCACCCATCCATCCATCCACCCATCCATCCATCCACCCATCCATCCATCCATCCATCCACCCATCCATCCATCCACCCATCCTTCCACCCATCCATCCATCCATCCATCCATCCATCCATCCATCCATCCATCCATCCATCCATCCATCCATTATCTTTACCCACTTTTTCCTTTTCGGGTCGTGGGGGTCTCTGGTACCCAAGTCCATCAGTCACTGTGCGAGAGGCGAGGGACACCTGGACAGGTCATGAATCATTTTTCATCCAGTTCACAAATATGCACTTTGTGTTAAACTTAAACATAAATAACCTGACAAAATGTAGAACAGTTCAAGAGATATTACTTTGTGGATTTAATTTTCTTTATGCCATTCACAATAAAAACAATTCAGACTAAGTGTGTTTTGTTTCAAAGAAACGTTTGTCGGCACAAAAGTTCACCATGTGAATTTTTATTTATTCCATTAATCATTTTACCTGTGCAGGTATAATATCTTTTTGTTGTTGTTTTATCCACATATAAAGCTCACGATGCTTTGACTAAAGATGAACGTTTTTGCTTGTGTTCTTTTCATCATCAGACTGCAGCAGATGGAGAACCATGTTGTTGTATCATGTTCTCTCTCTGAAGGATGCAGTGTTCAGTTCTGTGCCATGAAGGACCACTCCCATCAGCCAAGCATTCCCATCCTCCTTTCTCTTCTTCAGAAGCAGCTGCTCCCACCCTCCCTGCCTCGCAGCTGCTGGAGAGGAGGAGGAGGAGGAGGAGGAGGAATGGAGAATGCGGCCTCAGAGCGTCCTGGCTGGCAGCCATTACAGTTTCCTGTTCTTTTCTCTCACGCTCTTGTTCGTTTTGAGTAAATCAACAAAATATTTGCTGGTTGTCACAGATCCTCACTGAAAACGTAATAAATGAGATTAAAGTTTTTATTTCTGTTCTTGTGCCTAAAATTTCCTTCAGTCCTTATAAGACAGCTTGAAGCTCTGAAAGTGCGATGCACCATTTAACATCTATTTCACAGAAACCCGACAGGGCAGGAGCAGAGGAGGCAGGAGCAGAGGAGGCAGGAGCAGAGGAGACAGGAGCAGAGGAGACAGGAGCAGAGGAGACAGGAGCAGAGGAGACAGGAGCAGAGGAGACAGGAGCAGAGGAGACAGGAGGAGAGGAGACAGGAGCAGAGGAGACAGGAGCAGAGGAGGCAGGAGCAGAGGAGACAGGAGCAGAGGAGGCAGGAGCAGAGGAGACAGGAGCAGAGGAGGCAGGAGCAGAGGAGACAGGAGCAGAGGAGGCAGGAGCAGAGGAGACTGGAGCCAGCCTCCGAGACACACGCAGTCACGTGATCGGCCCACTGAATGACGTCACTGCAGAGAAACTGGGACAAAGAAGGAGTAGAGCTAAAAAAAATAATAATAAAAGGAGGAAAGCTTAAAAAAAAGAGACGTAAAAAAGAAGGAGGAGAGCTGCATGGGGATGGACAGAGCTCTGCAGCATGGAGCAGAAGAAAGCTGCTCGTGCAGTGGAAACACTTGCTGAGGGTTCTGGTGTCCACAAACAGCACGCGCTGCCCCACCCTGTGACTGCTCCTGTCTGGATCTCGTGTGGGATGCAAAATAAATGGTCTTTGTTCATGTCATGCAGGCTGCAGTATGAACACAATCAAACTATAATGGTCAGATATTCTTTGGTCTCATTTATTTTTCATGCAGTTAAACACCTGAAGGTGTTCAACTCATGGTTTTACCACTTGCAGCAGGTTTGCCAGCACTGGTCTCTAAAGGAGAGAGAAGGATGTGCGCAGCATCGCCAAATGGCGGCGGTGAGGTGGTGTGTATGTGCGTGTGTATGTGCGTGTGTCACCCCCACCCCCCGGTATAAATCCTCGTGCACCGCCCTCACATTCAGCAGTTGTTGCATCGACCCCGTTGGGTTCAACACGCGACGCAAACACCCTGATTTTAATTTTTACAAAGCCTCTTCCTCCTCCTCCTCCTCCTCAGCTGAAACATGGTGAGTGCGCTTCAGATTGTCTCAGAGCTGCAGCTCGTGCGTGTCTCTGTTGGACAGCTCAGATTTGAGCTGCGCGTTTCCAATCTGATCGATGACTGATCCGCAAACAGTGAACTGACTGAGTGCACGAGCACAAATGTCATGGATTGTGAGCAACATTTGAATGAATTATTTTATATATTATAAATTATGCTTTGATCCGAAAATCTGGCAACTTGTCCATCAGGGAGGGGCTGATGGAGACAGTGATGCAGTGATCATTTTTTATTCATGTCATGTAAAAACAGACATTTTAAATCTGTGATTTTAAAATATAAAGATTCAGTTTTACGCTTGAAACGACATTTAATGAAACAAATGGTTCATTGTTGAGGTGTAAATAGCAGATTAAAAAGGGAAGATTTTTTTGTGCTTCCAAGCATCTCCTGTGCACCTTCAGAGAGAGCAAGTGGAATATTCCATTCAGCGAGGTGCACGCGCCTGTGCACAATAAATACATTTGCATCCGTGTGACTGGGATAAAAAGACAAAAGCACAAAACAGACTGCGGACGCTCAGGAGCTTCCTGCAATTTGCAAGGGCTGCTGTCAGTCTTTGTCCCCCGTGGACCGTGGTGCAGGGAGGGGCCTCCTCCTGCTGCACTGCCTCTTCTCTTCAGACAGGGGGAGCAGATGTTCCCTCTTTTCATTTATTGGTATGGGATTCATTTAACATTAAATGACTTGCCTTTTTTTGTCTCTTCTGTGTTCTTCTTCCCACAGCGTGAGTGTATCTCCATCCACGTCGGTCAGGCTGGTGTCCAGATTGGCAATGCCTGCTGGGAGCTCTACTGCCTGGAACATGGGATCCAGCCGGATGGACAGATGCCTAGTGACAAGACTCTCGGAGGAGGAGATGATTCCTTCAATACGTTCTTCAGTGAGACTGGAGCAGGGAAGCACGTCCCCAGAGCTGTTTTTGTGGACCTGGAGCCCACTGTGATTGGTAAGAAAACCCACCTCTGGTTGAACAGAGGCCTGTCCATATCTAGTGAAATATTAACAAACCTGAAGTAATTCAGAGATTTCATTTCTCTTTAGATGAGGTGCGCACTGGGACCTACCGCCAGCTGTTCCACCCTGAGCAGCTGATCACTGGTAAGGAGGATGCTGCCAACAACTACGCCCGTGGACACTACACCATTGGTAAAGAGATCATTGACCTGGTTCTGGACAGGATCCGCAAACTGGTGGGTAAATTCATAGTTTAAGTATCTCTGTTCTCCAAATAT